CTCTCTCTCTCTCTCTCTCTCTCTCTCTCTCTCTCTCTCTCTCTCTCTCTCTCTCTCGTGCGTGCGTTGTCGGAGAGCGCGGTGACCCGGCCCTCCGTGGTGTACCAGACGCCTGCTCGCAAACCTCTTCGGCGTTCCAGGTGCGCTTGGGTTGCACTCTGCTATGAGACTGGTCTAGTTGATGCTTCCACTAGCAAAAGGAGGGGGTGCGCCACTGGACTTCCCATTGATTGGTCCACGCAGGCTTTGTGCCCTGCTATACAGCAAAGCACAACCGACTTGTACTTGTGGTAGCCGCCGGGCTCGCCCAGGGAGGCGAAACCAAAAGAACCAGCGAGGTTTTTTGTATTGTACGCCGAGTCTCCTCTAGTCGACTTATGGGGTGAATCTGACAACAGTCACGATCAAAAAAAAAAAAAAAAAAAAAAAAGGAAAAGAAAAGAGAAAAATAAAAGAAAAAAAAGAGAGAAATTTGAAGCGCCATTTTTATTTGCGTTTAGCTAGAACCGTAGAATGAGTTCAGATTAATCTGACGACTATTGCTGATAGTGGCAGTTTACTTTTCGCTCAAAGTTATATTTCTTTGTTATAGAATAATTGTATTTTCAAATTCTTGTCATTTCTCACGGCTCGTAGCGAATGAACGGTTACTTCTGAAATTTTCATCTTCAAATGGGCGGCCTAGACTAGCTGACCCTTTGTATCTCCATTCTATAGCGACCACTATATGTTAGGCACTGCAGCGTGGACCCTCAAAAGGGGGAACGACCCTCGACAGCTTCGGTAGGAGGCTTATCACCCCCCATGGAAGGTCATAAGCCCCCTCCTTGCCATCGGACATGGGTACCCATCAAGGGTAGTCATGTGATCTCCTTTGAAGGGAGGAAGGTGTCTGTCGATATCCCATTATAGGACCACTGCGCGTTAAGTTATAGCCTTTTCAAGCTACCCTGAAAGGACTGCAAGAGTTAATCGTGAATGGGCGCCCCCGCTTAGTGACCTCTGAAACTTAATATTGGTTGACTTCTCGGTAGAATGCAAGGAAATATTATTATTTGTATATTTAATCTACTTAAATAAGGATCTTGAAAATATTTTCATGTTCCCCGTTTACTGCACAATAACCACGAGACCTCAAACCTTATAAAAAGGGAGGTTGTTAAGCATCTTGGCTATTGGTTACTGAGTGTGAGTATGGTCTCGTGCTACATCTGGACTATTTCGTGCGGAGGGACCAATACGCTTATATTTTTAGCTATCTGAATTTAGTTATTCAATGCTTAGCACGCGTCATATTTTTATGAGAAAGTAGGTAATAACTGGTAGTTTTCATATTTCAGTAATTATAAAGGAATATCTATGGCCTATCGTAATGGGTTGCATGAATATAAGTATCTTCAGTTCATCTGGATGTGGGAACAAGTAACAGAAGAGGGACCTACGGTTACGACTATCTTGGATTATAGCCGCTATAATAGAAGGTCAAATTAAAAGCAAACGTTGAAGGGACCAAATAGGAAGAAATGAGGATGGACCAGAAGCTGCAGGCGGCCGTCACAGAGGCCAAGAACAAAGTTAAACGGAGGTGCAAGACGAACGGAGTTACTGCGGAAATCTAGGTAACAGTCGTGTAACACGAAACCGAGATTTTCACTGGGACCATGAAACGTAAGCAACTAGACTGCGATTCAGAGGCAGAGAGTGAAGAGAGTGACGGTGAGGTCACCCAGTTTTGGCACGGGCTGGACCAGTGGAGACGAGAGCACCCGTCCACCAGACTAGAGAAAGTTGTGGAAGACGACCCAGAGGCTAGTTCGTGTTGTTAGAGGAACTGAATACAAGAGGCCGCAATCAGTTACAAGAGAGAGAGTTAGACGAGGCGAAATGGCTCGTCTTGATGCCTGCGTTGTTACCATACTTCATTCATTCAAAGGAGGAGACGCATACAATGTGGAAAAATACTAGTTGTGCATGAGAGAGAGCGAGAGACCTCCACGAGGATGTTCAACAATCTACGATGGGGATAACCTAGTTGACGTCACCTCTCTCGCTCAAGCTACTATGTGACTAACGGAGGTCAATTTCTCAAGACGAGTTGAAAAGCACACGCATTACTTGAAAGTTGACGTCAACGACCTCCTCGTTTTGTCTGCTTTTACTGAGTCTATCGACTTGACTCCTGTTATAGTGAGACAAAAAAAAAGGGGAATGAATCAGCGGGGAGTCATTAATGTGCCCAGGAAAAGGGGATCAAACTCTCATTCATGAGGTCAACTAATTTTCACGAAGGAGCTGCAACCAATTTCATGCCGATAGATGGATTAAAATTGTTTGGTGGTTACGGTTGGTGGAGAGGCGAGAGAAAATGGTAGAGCAAGATACTGGTAGTGGTCGTTATCTAAAACACTTGAGCGAGAGGGTTAGTAAGGAAATCTACATGCATATGGTGTCACTCCCTAACTGCAGTCAACGCTATGTATGCGAGCCTTCGTCGACCATCGTGCGCTCCTTCACCATTAAAAGACTACTCAGGGTCCCGTAGTTTAAAAGCGACCGGTGCATAGTCGTCGATAGTCGTATTGCATGAGAATGATTTTGGTTCATGTCATCTCTCTCGCTTTAATCACCATGCTATAAACAAGAGTGATTGGTTTGCAAGATGGTTACGTTATGTGAAAGCGAGCGACACGAAGGCTACATGAGAGAGTGTTGCTAATGAGAGAAGAATCAAATCTTTGAAAAGCCAGCACATGTATATGTCATTGACTTAATCTACGTTACTTAACTGCTCTTTAGACAAACTCAAGATCGTTGGCATATGATACTTTTTCTTTCTTGCTATCTATTGTCTGCGAGCCACTGCTATATTCACCGCATGACACTAGTAAACCATGCAAATTATTATAAATAGATCCCGAACAAACTAGTGAGTGACTGCTCGTTAGAGAGTTATTAACAATCATCCATTCCGGATTGTTCGAGAAATAGGTTTATATCATAGGTGTCCACGATAATTGTTGATGGAACCATGGGTGAACCGATGGGAAAGGTGCAAGCAAGATGGGTTAGAGAGAGTCAGATAAACATATGGTTATCGTCTTTTGTTCTTCGCACTCAACAAATGGTTCGTACACGATTTTAATTAAAGAGTATCAATTTTTCTTTGACTATCGCGTCTCGAAGCTTCAAAAACTTTTCAAGCGAGGTACCGTGAATAGTTGTTTGATCGGGGCCCCGAGACACCTTTTGTGATAATTTATATGTGATTATCTAGATTCCGATGTTTCACAGAAAACCTCAAACTGTTAGATGAGTATTTTTATGGAGCTTGGGGAGTTGCAACTTATCTTCACCCTACTTCTGACTGTCATTGCTTTTCATCTCGAGGGGATGAAAGTTATGAGTCAAGGTATAACTGCGAGGATTGTCATCTAAATATGTCTAAGTAGACATAACACCTATTTTTTCATAGAAACGGACTTATTGACTTAGAGGACTAATCTGAGGCGAGAGCAATCACTGCAAGCAACATTAGTCAAATCAAAAGGCAGAGTTTACTATCTCATTCGAGAGTTGTATCGTATGTTATCCTCCAAGAATCTTGAGAGTGAGGGTTCTTTTGAGTTTGGATTTCTCTAGCTACTGGAAGTGGTTAAATTGGTAATCGAAAGTAAGTCATAATTACTGTTTGGTTACCATTTTGCTAATAAAGAGGTTGCCCTACTTTATTCTTGCACCCGGTTTACATACAAAGTTCTCGCGATTTTGAGAGAGTCTTTATTTCGACGCTATGAACGATATTTTGTCAAAAAATGCTTGAGGAAATGCGGTTCCCTTAGTGATCTATGGTCTAAATTTGGAACCACAAAACTTAACAGATAAGGCATGACCTTTACTCGGATTCGACCTGACCTTTTTTTTTTGCTTATCTCTTTATTCCACTTTGATAACTTTAAAATGATCTCACTGGTGATAAAAGTCATAAGTTAACCGATATTATTTGGCTCTGACGAGATGAATTAATAGTTTTTTTGTTAACCCAGATCTGCCTTGTTCAGCTTTAGTCAGCCAATTAGTGAGGACGACACTTGCTTTTAATGGTCAATGAAATAGACGAT